TAGGGAAACACGAGTTGCTGAGCTTGTATGAGACCACAGACAATTAAGCCCCAGACGCGTAGATATAAGTAAATGATAATTGCCTATTTTCAAGTTAGACCAGCAGAAAACCCATAAACACAGTGAAGAAACTCCCAAATTCTAATATTTTAGAGCAAGAACTAGCCAACAAGAGTGATAAAGAGCATGACTCAAAGCGTACTGAGTTATTGTAAATTGAACAGAAGTTCCACACCTGTCATTTCTACAGCTACATCCTCTGACCGGTAGGTCAGAGTAAAGACTTTCTAAGGCAGGCTTGGAATCATGAAAAGCATTGCCTTGGGACACATAGAGGCCCAACTCTATCCAAAAAAGCTGTTCTCTTTACAATAAAATTACCAAACCCTGCTGGATGCACAGTGAATCTTGAACAGCCAGGCCTTGACTTCACATCTTAGGTCGGAGACAGAAGCTCATCGCCTCTTTTCTGTTGTTTCTCTGCCACATTTCAAAGGCCTTTGCGTGGTGGTCAGACTTGATGGTGGAACATGCCGAGACGTTCCTGTCACTCTTTGCAGTGGACATGGATGCAGCGCTAGAGGTGCAGCCCCCAGACACATGGGACAGTTTCCCACTGTTTCAGCTGCTGAATGATTTTCTCCGGACCGATTGTATGTATCATCTTTGACTGTCTGACTTTCCTAAGTAGTGTGCAGTTAACAGATTGCTGAAACATCTTTATCCCAGGCAGACTACAGGTTGGACACAGCTCTTCATAGTTTTATGATTACTTAAAAAAAAAAAAAAATCTTACAGCTGATGAAATTCCCTTTCTTTCAACAAGCGTCCTGTTGCAGGGAAGCCCCCTGTTGACTAGGCAGAAGAACCCAAGAGCAGTGAGAAAGTGGTGCCCGTGCCTGTGGGTTTTATTTGCTCTTGAACAAGCTAAATTGACCTCTACACATTTTGAATTTTTATCAAAAGATGCTTCCTAGATGAAAAACAGTTTCCTGCTAAGTAACACCCCAAGCATTTCCAAGTATCTTACAGCAACACATAGCCATAAAATAGACCTTCCTCCCCAGGGAGAGTGATGACAGAAGAGAGGGGTACAGAATGTTCTTTCTTCCTGGTAACGTAAGGGGAAGAAAGGGAGCGGGTGCAAAGAAAACCTTAAAAAAAAAAAAGTATCAATTGTTGCTTTTGTTGTTCTTTAAGGGAGCATTATTTTTTTTTCCCTTTTTAGAAGAGTGACACAAATGGGTAAAAGGTTTCTGAATTCCATTTTCCTTCCACGCAGATTGAAGCGTGACGCCGCTCACGTACTTTTTTCTTTTCTCTTCCTCTTCCTCTTTCTCCTCCTTCCTTCTGGCTTTTTTTTTAGAAGCGGGTATATTTAACGTAGAAGACAGTCCTCTCTACGTGTACGTTGCGTGCTGATGGAGCAACTGTGGATTCTTACCGAGCTTTTGCTTATCTGTTCTAGATAATTTGTGCAATGGAAAATTTCACAAACACCTGCAAGACCTGTTTGCCCCACTTGTGGTTAGATATGTGGATTTGATGGAGTCCTCAATTGCACAATCCATTCACAGGGGCTTTGAGCGGGAGTCATGGGAACCAGTCAAGTAAGGAAACCTCTTTTGATACCATCGGAGTTTGGGTGCAAATGGCTGCAGAGTCATACAGAAATGGATTAATGGTGTCTTATGGTTTTCATTGTTCACATGGATAGACAGCAAACACCATACACCCAACTATGATGCTCATAGCCTCTTTGTCCAAGGAGGGGAGGGGGGAAGAGATTGGGAAATGTTTTATGAAATGGAATCTTTGGTTTATTGCACAAGATAAATAAGCAATACGGGATATAAACCTGGCTGTGATATGTGTACTGTGTATCTTACTCCAGTGGTTTTATCCCTAGGAATTGATGTTTCCCAAAGTGTATTCCATAGGGGTCTAGGCAAGGGGTCAGCAAACTTTTTCTGTAAAAGGCCAGATAGTAAATATTTAGACTTTTCAAGCCACATGATCTCTGTCAAGTGGTAAATGAACAAGCGTGGCTGTGTTCCCCTAAAACTTTATTTACGAAAACAGGAAGCTGGCCTGTGGGCCAGAGTTTGTCATTTCCTGGTCTAGGCTTTTGAGACTCTCCTCAAGAAAAGGACTCTGTGGACAGATATATTTAGGAAGCTCTATGTATCCGCTCATCTACCCCACGCCCTTGTCTCCTGGAGAGCCTCAAAGTACACCAGCATATTTCAAAACTCGAAGAACATAGTCATACAGAAGCTTGTTTGACTGTGCTTAATCCAGAGTTTCCTAAATGTGTTTGACCACACTACCTTTTTTTTTTTTAATGGGATATCTATCCTGCAGGGCCAATTACAGAAAATCCTATAGGTCTGTGAATTTGGCAATTTCCATAATTGCTTGGCAAATAAATCCTATCTGAAATGTGTGGCAGATTTGGTGCCACCTCCATTCCCCAGCAAGGAGAAGGGCTGTCACTCAAGGCTGCCAGAGGGTCAGTCTCAGACCCCCCTTTCTGGAGAAGTGGAGAACTCCTAGGCGGAGAGAATTTTCTGCTATAGTTTGAAAATCTCCAATAAAGCCTGATAGTAGCTTTGCTCTATTAGATTCCCTTTTTTCCTGTAGGAAAAGCATTTTGTTCTTTCTGGTCCTTTACATATGTGGAATATGGCAACCAGCATGGAGCAAAGAGGGGCATGCACAGCACACTGTCAGGCACTTCCAGAACAAATATTCAAAAGCCTTTTCTCAATTTGGAAGCCTTAACTTGTGCCCTGTCTTTAAGCAGTTTTCTGAATTGAGACCCTCCTTCTAATATTACACTGAATAAAATTCTGACTCATAAAGAAATCAGAGCAAAATAGCTTTTTCAGTCCATCCCCCTTTCCACATCTGAGCCACAAGAGAAGTTTCTTGACTTGCCCTACTGAGCAGGTTAATAGGCAGGAGCTCTTCATTTGTAAGTACCAAGATATGTAAATTTTAGCTTGTAATGCTCAGGTTTATAACAGTCTCTTAATATGGCCCTGCTGACTTTCAGCTCATGAGAATAGAACCGGGACCCTTGATGATAAAGCATGAATGAGTGATTGCGTTTCTTTTAAATGCTCACTCGAATCAAGACAGTTGTCCTGTGCAGAACAGCTGTGAAAAAGGAAAAGGTTAAAATGAGTAATATTCACATTTTGCAAGTAGCAGTGGTCTTGAAGTAGCATTTACTCACTTGGGCTTAAATGTGGAGGCTACTACCCCCAGCACACACAGGAGGAAATGATGGGTATCCTTCCCTGTTTCTTAAGGAGCCCTAGAGGTAGGGGCCTTGTTCTCCAGTTTCTCGTCAGAAGGCAAGGGCTTAAACCTCTCTAACTGTCTTCTCATCTGTAAAACGTCTCTACTCAGTGTCTGAGAATTGTCATGAAGCTCTGTGATAATGTCACTGAAGTCATTTTATAACCTGTTAAATTCTTTAGAAACCAAGCTAATGACTGCTATCCCTTCTGAACCATAACGTATTCTTGATCAGTCAGAAGTAAATGTAGACTTGAAATCATTTTCACAATTGGAAGTCTTAGTCTGGGAATGTTTTCTCAGGCTTTTTTTAAGGAGTGAAAAAAAAGTAAAGTGTGAACTCTTGGATCAGTAATTTAAAGATCGGAAAATTAGCAAAGGATTGATCATTCGTGACTAACAACCTGAGAATATTTTATAGGGATGTGTTTTGTTTCTTAAGTAGATTTTGGCTGTCCAAAACGGTGCTGTAGGCTCGTGAATATGACTGTGGTTTGTTTAATGCATACTAAATAGTACGTGCTTTTCAGAGCAGGTGGAGGTATTGGAAAATGACAACTAAAACATAAGCTAAATTAAAATTGTTTGAAATCACCTACATTTTATTACCTGATTTCAAAACAGAATGTGGATGCCATGGGACAGATTTGCAGAATGGCCAGCACGAAATGAAGGGTATGAAAAAATTGGGAACACACTTATGTGATAGGAAGGAATAAATCTCTCGACTTCTTACTATGCCAAGAGAAAGTATGAGCTCCTATCTGACCACTGGATAGGGGGTTGATAAAGAAGCATAGGTTCTTTTTTTTTTCCCCCAAGTAAAGAATGATCTTTGGGGGATATTTTTCAACAAGTTCACTCAAAAATAAGAAGCTGACTTAGATAAATAGATTGTTTGCTCAATCTTCTCTAATTTTGACACATGGTCCCACAGTGTACACACACATGCACACACACACGTGCCCCCAACAGCCCTTCTCTCAAACAATTCTTATACTTGAATAGTTCTTTTCTTCTGCTTTTCAAAAGTCATGATTATAGGTACCTGATTATAGGTAAAATGACTGAGAAATACATTGCAAAGCTTAACTTCAAGAAAAACTAGTACAGTTGACCCTTGAACAACACTGGTTTGAATGGCACAGGTCCACTTATATGTGGATTTTTTCAGTGGTAAATAATGACAGTCCTACATGGTCAGAGGTTGGTTGAATCCACAGATACAGAACTGAAGATAAGGAGGAACCACAGATACAAGGGATAAATATAAAGTTATATGTGAATTTTTAACTGTGCAGGGGTCAGTGCCCCTAAGCCCCGTACTGTTCAAGAGTTAACAAAATATTTCAAATGTTAAAGAAAAACAAAACTCTGACAAGGAAATGCTACCAATATATCTAAGTAGCTAAAAGCAGATTTTAAATATTCTTTATTGTTCAGATTTTCTTATTTCAAAATAGGGTCCTGTGAAAGAAACTAGAGATATCATCATCATTTCGGTTTGATACAACTGAAGTTATTTGATAGAAAGGGTAAAATATGAGTCCTTATTGCTTATTTCTCTAGAAGGGTGGCCTTCCATCTCTGAGGAGAGAAAAGGGAAGCTGCATCTCTGTTTCCATTAAGCCAGATCATGATGGTCATGATTTGAATCTCTAGGCATTGGTGGAAAATGTCATCCCATAGCTTCTAACCACAGCTGAAGATAGCCTCTCGAGGGCAAGCCCAGGCTGGACCCCATGGCCTCGTCCGGGGGTCCATGAGGACACGTCATAGCGCCACCACCCACAGCTGGGCAGGTTGTTCAGAACCCTCCCAGCAGCCCTGAATATGAGCTTTTGGTCCTACCTAACAGACGGACCACAGTTCTACCAGCTCTTTAGAGTTGGTTTGTTGCTCATCTAGTCATCCTGACCTTCTACGTGGAAGAAAACTTAGAAAGCGTCTAATCCAGAGCTTGCCAAGTCTAGAAACCCCTCTGCACTACTCTTTCCTTGACAGATTGTCTCTTAGTCTCTACTTAAACACTTTCAGGCACAAGGAATCCACGCTTCACTGTTGCCCATTTCAGGTCAGGATGATTCTGAATTATAGACCTAAAAACACTGCTTCTTGATATATGCACCCTGAAAACCTTGGGTTTCTCGTTTCTCAAGGTGCACTTTCTCTCTCTCTGCCTGAGACAGACATGTGAAAAGTATTTTCGAAACAACTGTCTTTTCCCAGATTGTCAAAGCTGTCAATATCCTAATGATAATAAAATGTCAGACCAAGGATACCTTAGCAATACAGTGGGTGGCCTGGTATGAAATAGACAAGTGTTAGACAAGGAGTCAGAATTCTTAACTCTGCCAGTAATTTGCTGAGTGACCTTGGGCAGGTCAGATGACCTTCCTGAGCCTCAGTATCCTCCTTTGTAAAACAGGAACTTTGAATACCCAAGACTTTCCAATACTAACATCCTAGGAAATGTGATTTTCTGTATTCACTTCATATATGCATTTAATCAGCACTGCCTGCCTAACACCTAGAGCAAGGCCTAGGACAGGTGTTCAATAAATATTTATTGATTAGCTGACATTTATTAAGAAACCCATACAGGCTGAAAATTGTAAGAGTACCACAGGAAAACTATGGGGAGAAGGAAGCAAAAGATACAATCCCCTGATCGGGGATTTCAATCTGGTGGGGTCTGCGCAACATGCACACAAGAAAAATGACTTCAAATATTTACCAGTGTACAAAGAACATTAGGAAGAGTTATGAGAGCGTAAGTAGAAGGGAATGAACCTCCACTGAGGAGTCATAAAGGAAGTAGCTTGGAGAGTATTTCAGAAGGGGTAGGGATGTTGGGAGAGAACATGAGCAAAAGTAAAATTGGGGGGAAAGTGGGGTAGGCAGTAGAAACAGTGAATGTTTGGTTTGGGCCAGCATGGATTATAAAGGAGACAAGCTATGAGGTTGGAGAGATAGTTGGGAGGTTCTAAAATCCTGTGAAGTTTAGAACTTTGTTCACTAGGTCACGCATTCTGAACAGGAGACTTACAGCTCCCAAAGATGGTGGAACTTGGTTCTTGGGGGGGTGGGGGGCGCAGCGGAGGAGGGTGTGCAACAAAAAAAAATCTTCTTCTTGTGTATATGTATAAAGCACAGGTCTATATACAGTACATAAGCAGATATACAGTATATTGGTGGTATTAAAGTTTCAGGGGGAAGGCAATTGGGGGATCTGCTGGTGGTAGGAAATAAAAGCTTGAGAAACACCCCTCTAAACTCTAGAAAGATATCAAAGAGTGCCCCA